TTTGCGAATCTGCGACTTGGCGCAAGGACAATGCCGCCGTTGGTCATTTCATCACTTGAGCTGAAATCGAAGAGGATTATAAAATAAATGTGACACTTGCTGTCGCGAATGGCGGCGATAAAAAATGTTGCATTCAGGAAGAGCTCACATTTTATTATAAAGGGATTCCACCTGCAAGGCGTTTCAGAAATGGGATTAAAAATAGGCTTATATACCTTGTGCGCCAACATGACACATTGAATGTGTTTCAATAAGCCACCATTTCATGAAATATATCAGCTTTTCACTTATTTTGTATAAGTTCGATACTCTGAAAGTGCAGAGCACATTTGATGTATCTTGACCAAATACCATTGCATCGTGTTGCCCGCTGCCCTCGAATCGAAAGTATGGGTTTTTTTTGGTTGACCCACTTTCTCTGGGTCGTGAGTGATGTGCATTGTCAGTGTCAGTTTTTCAGTTTTATCTGGCGTGAGTCACGAGTCGACGGGGCAAATACGTAAATTTTGCGAATTTCGCATTGCGCATACGACATGGTGACCCAGTTGAGGAGACCCAAGGAGTGCCCGCGCCCCCAGCTCCTTTGGGGGAAGCCGAGAAAGCATATAAATTATAATTTCTCTTTGTTGATGTTGTTATTTGTCGTTAAGCGCATTTTCGGCTAATTAAAAAAGAGCGACAGGCGAATAAAGCAGAAGCGCATCCCAGGACCCCAAGAAGAATGCAAATTAAATGAGGAAAAATGCGAGGGACGCCAACGGCAGACGACGGGTGCTCAACTAAATTGAAAAAAAAAAAAAAAAAAGAAAAAGGTTAACTAACACAGCAGAATGAAAATAAAAACCTCAAGCAAAACAAAACGAGAGGAGAACAAAGCGGCGGCAACAACGTCAACCAAATTTCACGCTGACAAATTATGATTTATGCTACAGCTGACTGCTGCCGTTTGGTTCTTCTTGTTTGAGTTTAAGTTTTTGCTGCGGACCGGGCTTTTTTGCTTTTGTTACTGCCTCTTTTGACGTGGGCGCCAGCCAGCAACGAAAAACGCCGAAAACGCAGCTGCAAAGCCAACTTCAAGCTGTCCAAACTCGAGCAAATGACAAAGGCCCGGCGTGATGATGGAAAACTGTGCCGCACTGCAACTGTGAACTCTCCGCTTTTAAATGACAGAGGTTAAATCATTATAGTCTGTGTAACATGTGGAGTGCTAGGCAATGTAGTCTGCAAGCAATAGCGCCATTTGTACGGTCACTATATATATATACAGCCTTATCACTAATCACTTGGAATCCCAGCCTTACATGATGATGCATACATCTATATTTCCCCCTACGCACTGAACACGCAAATCGGACATCATCGCTGGCACAATGGAGCCCGAAATCCGCCGTCCAGCTGCTCACCAAAAACCGAATCCCTGTCTGCGATTCTGTGGCCCTGGGCACATGGTAAAAGGCTTGACGCTTCAATTACACTCACACAAAGGCCCAGAAAGTCGAGGGAGGAGCTGCTCGCATGTTTGGCCAGCGGCGATCGTTAGAACCCAAGTCGAAGTCCAAATCCGAATACAAATCCAAATCCAGTCCGAATGTCTGTGCTTGCGACCTGCTGCTTCAGGAACTTCTCCCCGAAACTGCTGCTCTTTCAACTTGTGCCGTCTGTTTTTGCTGCCTGTTGAGAGTTGACAACTGTGCACTTTCATGGCCTATGGCTAGAAATGCCATGAAATATCTTCTCTGCCAAGCGATTGCCTGCCTCCTGCAGGTTGTCATGCGAATACAGCGGCTGGGTTTGGGGATGGGTTGCAACATACATACATATGTACATGTATACTCCCAGTAATCGTGGTGCCCCGGCGATTTGGTCAAACATTGCTCAGTTGCTCGAGGGCAGGAGACATTTACATTTACTCCACTATTTTCCAGTTCAAGTAGAAGCAGATGTAGAAGCAGAAGCAGTAGCAGTAGCGTTTTAGCCAGTAAACTCGTTAGCCAGCCAGCAGTAGTGATAACTGAGTGTGTATCCCAGTTGGCCAGAACTGGAATTTATGGACATCGTAAATGTGAAATCAGTGGGCATTGAGCAAATCATTTTTAGGAAATCTGAATAGAGCTTGGTGATCGATTGCTTGCAGAGATATCGCCGGGGAAGAGATATTTTAAAAATACTCTTTTATGTGATCTTAGTGAGTGAGGAAATACCACTTATAATTTAATATTTAGCTGCACAATGAACGCTTGTACACGAAGACTTTGCCGCTTGATTATCATTATTAAATGGTTAATATGAGCACTGAACCAGCAATTACATAAAAAATATTACAACAGAAAAGGCACTGATGGCCACGTTAAGATAAAAACAAATCACCATTTTAATCGGGCATCTCTGTTGGCCAGTTTAGCCAAACCTTTTCTGCCCTCCTGCTGCCATTTAACTCTAAGCCCAAACACACTTTTCGGTCTAGCGCTGATTGTGAAATCTTGTTTGTTTGTTGCCCCACCGCCCCACATCCCGACATCCCCACATTTTTGGTCCCTCCTCTCAATCATTGAACACTTGCCATTGTCCATTGCCAATTGCCCATTGCCCAGTGCCCATCCATTGGATGGTTGTGCATTGGTTGTCTGGAATATGAGCCACATAGTCCCTTGGCAAATTGAGTCATGGGCCCAGAGAATCGAAATTCCATCGAGGTGCCACTAGAACCGCACGCGATCAATCCCAAAAACCGTGGAGAATTCAACATGATCGGTGTCACAGAGGATGAAGAGGGTATCATGGGTAGAAATAAAAGGGGAAAACACCGCGTCAAAACTAATTAAATAACTCGTTCGACAATGCATTCGCATGGAAACGGTGCTGGAAACCGAAACCCAGATAGCAGACGTACAGAAATCCAAGTCCACGAAGACCAGGCACTCCGTGCCCATGTTCAGCTGTCGAAAGCATTTAATTTTCAATTATCTCTGGGAAATTACACAAAAGCCAGACTCTCGGACTTCGAGTTGCAGATGAAGTTGGGCAGTTGGGCAGTTGGGCAGTTGGGCCCCTAACCACTTTTTCCCTACAAATTTACCCCTCCTGCGGTTTTTCGAGTGGCAAAGTAAACAAAAACGGAGGGAAATAAAAGTCGGCCAACTAAATTGGCCAATTAAAGGGCCCAAAGTGTTTGATCAAATGAAGCCGGAAAAGTTAAACTGCAGCATTCAACTGAGTTAACTGCTATTTGTCAAAAGTGTGATATGAGTTTTTGGTAACCGGATTTTTAATTTGCCGCCATGTGTTTTAGTTGAATTTGGTAAGACAACACCAAAGCAATTAAGAAACAAGAAGTTATGCGAAAGTGTGAAAGCAAAGCATGCCAACGGAGATTTAAATAAAACATCTAAGTGCAGTTGCCTCGACTCAACATTGTATGCGTTATGTGATATGATATGAAGCAAAAACCTATCACCATCCCAGAGTCATCATCTAATAACTGCACATTAGCCAGCCAGTTCAAAGACTCGATATCGTAGGCCATAAAGCTAAATGGATAATTTACGATGGGGCACAGAGCACTTTAAAGGCAATCCCCTGATGTCCCCACCAAAAACAATGCAATTCAATTAAATTGAAATGGAAATGCAAATGCAAATGCAATTTCGATTGTGGACGAGAAATCCGAGATGAAACGACCGCCTCTTATGGTCTCTGGCTTTGACTCTTTGGCTCAAAACCCCACCGCCTTGGTCTAGGTCTTGGTCTTTGGGATCCAAGCTGAAAGGTGCCCAAAGATGGTGGGCTTGTGCTCCCCCATCCCCATCCACATCCACAAAGTCTGACTGCTTCTGTAGTAAACCCCACTCCGCTTCATAACCCAGAGAATCTGTGGTGTCTGCGCCGTTTTGTCTGCATCTGCCCCGGCGTCATTTAAAAATAGTTTTGCGTGTGGCTTCCTCGGATTGGGAGGCAGCATCGGAGGGTCGAAATGAGCAGGTTAAGCTAAAAATATGACTGCGGCAGCCTGCTTTCGTACACTCGCAAAAACGCTAAGTATGCAAATAAAGACTCCAAAGGCGTTATGAGGCAAAGTTTCCCTATCGAGTTGCGCGAAGAAGCTCGAGGCATGTTGCAAGAAGTTGTAAACGAATTCTGATAGATTTTAAAACGCCCTAAACGACGCTTTGTAAAGCGCATTTTGATGCTAAATTAATCAATCGGATTTTCACATTTGAGGTATTTAGTATTCCCTCCATATCATAAACCAATAAACTTAAATTCTTTGCCTATCTAAATTGTGATTGAAATTTTGTGATATTCTATGCATTCTCACCTGCGTTGAAAATGATTATAAGAATTCTCCATCCTTGACCATCCAAAATTAAGTGCCTTCGTTTGCTGTGCTGACTTTGATTTTTATACGTCGATTTTGGGTGGCGCCTTTTGAGCTGTTCACAAATGAAATAAGTTATTATTAATAAATGGCCTTCTTTGTAATACTGCATTTGACCCTGTTGTTTCCACTTTGGCCTCGCATGCGTTGTCATCTCTTGGTGATTGCATCCCATCAATTCCGGCTAATTAGGCCACAGTGAAGGCATTTTTTATTAATTATTTATGCAGAAGCTTCCAGGCTTGCAGTCACATTTTTTTCATTTTGTAGGCTTCGATAATTTTCCAGCGATCAATTATCGCCGATCAGTGTTGTACAATGTACACAGATTTCATTTCCAAGCGAGGTGCCTCCTTTTATATTGTTTATTTTATTTTATATTTTTAAAAATGTTAACTCTATGGCAATAAGCGCAGATATAAAAATTACAAGAACTTAAAAACTTTTTTTTTAAGACACAAGTTATCGAAGTACAAAATAAGGACTTACCGCCAAACTTTATAATTTAATAAGCATAAAATTCTTTACAAATTAAATAAAATATAAATGTCTTTATAATAGTTACTCTCTCGTATGCCGTAAACTGTGTAATAACAATGCTCCACCAGCTTTAATGTAAAATGTATATCGAAAAAATACAACTTTTTACCCTGTACACCCTATTTGGTATATAAATGTATCGTCGATAATCGATTACTTGTTATTATCTGAAAGAAGGAAACGGAAGCAGACGAAAACAATAACATTAGAACTTGAACGTATCACATTGAAAGTTGAAAATTTCTGCAAAAATGGTTTATTTTCTGCAGCACGTGTTGACTAATTTTCGCGTCAACCTGCAGGAAGGTCCCAACTTTCTGGGACGCAGCCCCGCTTGCAGCGTGGTATCCGACTTATGCCCAGGTGGTGGCTGATGGTGACAGGATGTTCCTCAGGGACTTGGTAAGATGTGGACTTTGGTGTTCATAGTCGATAGTTATGCCCGAATACTCCTCCATCCAGGGATCCACCTATGGCATATATGGGCGACTTGGCCTTGCGTTTCACGAAATATTCATTGGCGACGATGTGGCTTTTGGGGTCTCAACATTCGGCCGCGATTTTCATACTCCGCTTACGTACGGTTGCTTTACCGTTCATATGGACTACCCCGATTTGGATGATATGATCTTCTCGGACTCCGACGACGATTACTAATAACATAACGGGGAGTCGCCCAGTTCCCAATAAACCATGTGGCTGGACCAAACCTTGGGACCAACTCCTTGCAAACACATCTACAACAAGTTGCTGAAACCTGACAAAAATCTGGCATAGGACAATAGGGAACCTATTCAATACTCATTTGAAATGCACAATAAGAGGGTCTTGGAATGAACCAAACCAGTATGCGCATTAAGGTCCATTCACCGCATTAAGGTCCAAGAAGCACTGTTTCGATATTGCACGGCTTCCGTTGGCAGATCGCAACTTGCAGAACTGGCCCATCAATTCGAGGCTTTCATAATTCGATTCCCACAGCACAGTTGACATTTTTCTCAGTTTTCTCATTTCGTCTGCACTTTGGCTCTCGTCTGGCAGACGATTTATCTTGTGACCCCAACCGGTTCCACATCTCCTCCTGAAACGCTGGTCCACATGGTTGGTCCATTGTCACATTGGCAGAGCGATTAACTTATTTGAGTAGGAGACTCGTTCGTGGCTGCCCCTTATTTGCCCCATTTTACCGGGTATCTGAGTTTGTTGTGTCCATACTCGTTGGTTCCAAACAAAATGTGTTGCAAGTGTAAGGTATCTGTTAGTCCGTCATTGCTCTGGTCAACTTGCTTCCCTGCGTTTGCGTTGCGTCTTTTGCGTAAAGTGTAAATATTATTTCAAGATACTTAACCATGTTGTCGTTGGCAATGTTGCCATCGCTCTTACAAATTTTCACTGCTGAGTGGGGGCGTGGCATGAAAGGGGGCGATTAGCTTATTTCGCCGATGACAGGCGACTGAAAGAACTCAAGAAACGACCTTGTCCCTGTTATGTGGCCGCTGTTTGAGTTGTCAGCCCGCGAATGACTCGCTGATGGATTGGCTGACTGCTGGATTGCGCTGAACTGTCGGCTTGTTTGCTTGTTGATATTGTCAAAGTAAACAGTCAACACAGTCAACTGGGAACTGGAAACTGGAAACTGAGAACGGCGAGCAGAATACGGCGCTGAATAGCGCTCCTCCACTTGTGCAATTGACAGCCGGGCGGAAATAAAAGTCAGCGCAGTAGCGGCGCCGCAAAGTCTGGCCAATTAATAAGCCAGCTAATGGCATTGCCCGCCGACGGATGCAGTGCAGCAGCCACATGGATGCGGTGCAGCGACGTCTCGCTGCAGCTCATTTGCAGGCCTCTTTCAGCGCCCTTCCGACCCGGCCCTTATGCATACACTCGGCGAAAAGTTGCACAAAAGTTGTTCCTTGGAAAAATGTACTCTATACAGATTGTGTAGGATGATTTAAATTACCGAAAGGTCTTAACTACTTATAAACCTATGTCGCAGGGTATTACTACCAATCTTTTAGATAGTATTTCAACTTCAACCTAAATCGTTTTTATTATATGATGGATATGTCAGTAAAATGTATTGTAAAACATAAAATACAAGTAATAATTAAGCAAGTTGCCAGCAGCCTACCATACCTACTATCCATTTCATTTCGGTAGCTCAAATATAATTCTGTGGCTAAGTCTGCATTGGTGCTATTATTGCGACTGCAGGTGTGTATCTTCGCGCTATATCCAGTCCTTTATCGCTGCGACAGTTTAGGCAACATCATCAGCCAGGGACGTGGTGCAATGGGCGGGAAAGGGGGTGCATAGGAGCCCAGTGGGGGTCTGTGTGCCTAGGAGCCCGGCGAGAAGCGCGGCGCACAGACGGAAACTCATTAGTGAAACTGTGTCTTGGCAGAGGAATCACCTGCCGCACCTGCCCTCCAAATGTCAACGCGCTGCTCCTCCAAAGGGTATAAAAACCAACACACCTTCCTGCCGCTCATCACCTGGCAGCATCGTTATGACGCTCTCTCCCGGAATCCTTTATCCTTGTTTTTACACAGGCACACCGGTACAGGTGAAGGTCCTGCTGCCTGCGAAAATCTGTGATGGAACAAACAAAGAGCACATTAGCTAGCAGAACAACAGAACACATAGCACATAAATCTGCGGGAAAAGCGATCATCGATTGGTGGAAATTGAGACAAATCTTTCCGGAAGACTTGTGGCTTTTCTTCTGAGTATTTTTATCACAACGTAGGACCAAGAACCAAACCATACCAAAATTGTATTTAAATTTAGCCAGCTGTGAATGGCTCTTAAGAGATACCACAGTGGTATACTTGGCTATATGTATTTGAAGTTGTTCTATTTTCAGTCATTGATGAAATTCTCAATTAAGTCGTTGATACGCTGAAATTTATCCGCGGACAGCCGCGCGTGCCGACGTAAATGGGTTTTGGTTTATGTGAGTGGTAAATCAATGTTAAAAGTGTGTGGCAAAGGAATTAGCTATTATTTTCCTGACGAAGAAGTTGCAAATACAAGTTATTTAATCAAACATGTGTGGAGAAGATCTTGGAAAATCCGCGAGTGGCCACTATTTCCTTCGAAGTCAGAAGAGAATGGAAATAGGCCGATAGTAAATCACAACTAATCATTCACCCCAGCAAATAGCCATGTTTCCATTTTTATGCTTCTTGTTAGTTAACTTGTTGTGATGCATGCCCCTTTTTAAGCCTGTCAAGGCCCCCATATATCAAACTTTGTTGCATCTTAAGCGGCCGATCCCAATTCGAACCGGTTGGGATCGTAAAGTAGCACTGCAACGAATTGGCGTGAAGTTAGGGTATTCCCTTTGGCTGTTTGCGTTGCGCTTTTTCACGGCTGTCGTCTGCCGACTGCCTGCAAGTTTCCTGCTCCCTCGTCCTTTCGACACATTGTTCTGCTCCTTCCGTTGTGTGTGTGTGTGTGTGTGTGTGGGTGTGCCTGTACACAAATTTTTATGACGACAGGTTGGTTGGTTCGTCGGTCGGTTGGTTGCATTCCAAGCTCTGGGAGGTGTGGATGCTGGAGGAACCGGAGGTGACTGGCAGCCCTGGAAAGCGATTTCACGCTTCACGTTCCACGCTGCGCACTCTGGCGCCACCTGCCGGGGTTCGACGATGGCGTGGATACACTGACAAAAGGTTCGGATAGATATGTATTTATTCAATGGCTTATTGCAGTATTTTCTAGCGCTGCAACTATCCAAAATCATTCTCAGTGTTCCGATGACGTCGACACGAATGAATGAGCTGAAGCGGCTGAAAAACGAGCAGCTCCGCTCTGGAAACGGGAGGAGCTGCGCCGCTGGTTCTGCGGTAGCCAAGTTGCATCCGAAGCTGGATCTGGATCTGAAGCTTTGGCTGAGGCTGAGGCTGCAGTCGAGTGATATAAGTGGTTGACATGTAGCCGCCATTAGCGGTACGATGACAAGCGTTGAAGGCGCGCCGGGGAATTAAAACGCAAAAAGGGAAAACGCAAAATAGCGAAAAGTATGAAAAAAGAGGGAAAATGCTGCAAAAAGCATGGCAAATGTGAAAAAGGCAGCAGCGAACAAGAGAATTGAATGGGATAGTTCTCGGTATTTTCCTTTTTTTTCTTCTTTTTTTTTGTATTTCCATTCACTACCCCTCGCTGGCTCCATTTTATGACAGCAATGGAGCAGGAAACCGCAGTGCAATATATATATTTATATGTACGTATAAAAAAGGTGCAAAAATCATCAGCACGCTGTCGGCGGCACCTCCCTTCGGTCGGGAAAACCGCCTGTCACATTAAAGTATCATTTGCAGTCACCCAGCCAGAGGGTGTCCCTTACCACTGGCTTTTCACAGCCCGCCCTCCTCGGCGATTAAAGTCCATGGCATTCGAGAATTCCGGAATCCATCTTGTATATTGATGGCACACAAATCGCCGAGGCAATTTCGCGCTCTTTTAGCCACAAAGCCATTGACCGTTGACTTGGCCACTGAAAATTGGCAGCGGAAGCGCATCGTAATGAATACATTAACATTAATAATTGACTTGGCTTGCAGCTCTCGTTTGGCGGGCGTAAAAAAGTGGGTGTTTTGCGGTTGCATAATAAGCGGATGTAATTCATAGAATGCAAGCCAAGTTCAAATTAGATAGGTCACTATTGAAGTCGCAACGCATTATTGTTTGTCCTTGGACTAATTAAATAAGCCATAGATGGCCAAAAATGATTGCATACATCGCGTTTTGAGCGGGATATATATTACAAAAACTTTGTGTAGCACTGGCATGCGTTACGGTTTAAGTGTGGAAAGTGCGAGAGTTTGCTGTGAAAACCCCAGGGAAATTTCACCCGCCAAAGTTGAAAACGCAACGCGATAGGTGGACGGACTGCAGCAGTTTTTCCAACAGGATACGCTGACATTTATCACCTGCCGTGAGTGCAGCTTGCGGTGTGCATTTTCCCTTTTAGCCAGCACTTTGGCCGCATTCGCGGACATTTATGCCACGTTTTTTGTTGTTTTTGACAATTGTGCGAGCGGCAGACACTCTTTGATTACAGAGCACCGATGGGCGGCGATGGGAGGCGCTGGTTGCTGCGGCATTAGCATTAGCATAAATTTGAGCTGGCTCACACAACAAGCGCACAGTCGAGTATGAATATATAATACGCCGGTTGTGTGTTATTTATGAGTGTGCATGTCTGTGCGGAAACTTGGGGCAACTTTCCGAATCGCAAACCTGGTAGGGGTGGCAGGGGGGTGGGGGGTTGGGCCGGAACAGGGGCAGGATAATCGCTGCTTAATGCAGTCGCGACCCATCCGTCCTTGCCAACCGCCATTTGTCTTAGCGTCCCATTCCAATTCGCCATTGATAACGAAAACAACGAAGGCGAGACGAACTCGCTTTACACTGAGCAAAAGCATTTGGGCTTGTGAATGATGAATGCCTTTCAAGAAAATACATGCAATTTATTTGTGCCCTTTGAATAAATCTAAACATTTAATACATTCTAAAACTGAATTCCAGTTTCCCATTCCGTTCGAGCTTCTTCACGAAATACCATGCATTGCAATTGAAAAAATCGCAGTGTACTAAGCCACCACGCCCACTTGGAGCCGGCGAAACGTGGCGTGGGCTCATGGAAGAGC